GCATCGCTACTAGTAACAAGTGCCTTACTAGTAGTAACAAGAAGCTAGTAGTAACAAGTGCCACGCTTCTAGTAACAAGTGCCTTACTAGTAGTAACAACTTTCACTGGTGTTTCTTGGTCCATCCATCTGACACGGACGCCTTTGAAGGCGTCGAAGATGGTCTTGGGGTGTAAATATCGTCCTGGGTGCGTACGGCATCAAGGACTCCAATGAATGTGCTAGTAGGTTGGAGGCCATCGCTAATAGGAGCAAGGACGCTACTAGGGGCTCCTGGCATCGCTACTAGGAGCAAGGACGGTATAGTAGGTTGGAGGCCATCGCTATTAGGAAGGCCATTGCTTTTAGGTTGACCGTCAAGAGTTGTCCGCATCTTCGACTGAAACCCGTTTGATCTGTTTGATGTATGAATGGTCAAATCTTGTAAACGATGCATGCGGAAAGCACTCTTTTACCCTTAGCTTGCTTAAAGACTTCAGTTGAGTGGGCAAACACCAACCTCCGCACCTTGCCGCTGAAATAAAGAGGACAGAACGGCAATCAGTGCACCGTTTGAGGCGGGGAGCTGAGTCGAGTCGCATGCGCTGGTCGAAGCACGGGCAAAGCCTTCGTTCGATTCCCAAGCCTGTCTAAAGAATGTGCGCGATGTTGGCTGTAGACTGGGCTGCGCTCCTCATAGATCCTCCCTCCCTCAAACTCCAGAGGCGCCTTCGATCTGGAAGACAACTAGCACGTTGAGTTCTGGCCCAAGGGACCAAAACAGAAAATCGTGAGATGTGATCCGGAGAGACGGTGCAAAAACATAAGAAACAAGTGACTCATGGAGTGAGGAAGAAAACAAACCAAGGTAAAACTGCCATTGAAGAAGACGAAGAACATTGAACAAGAAGTCCAATCTGGGATGCTCGAGCTGCTAGAGTGCTCAATGTCGAACATAAAACAAAGCCCAATTCTGGAGACACCAGTCTAACCCATGGTAACCCCGCCAAAAACAAATCACATAGGCCCCAAATCATCTTTACTTTTACTTCTTCCTTGTGTGTGTGTTTTTTGCTTTTTTAGACCTTTCTGTTTCCCTTTCTTCCCGTATCATTTAAGAAGACTTCAACCTATGTAAAGAGCAGCAAGCCAAGCATCCGAGTTGGCAACTGCAGTGGCAAATACAGTGGACATGATGACTGAATTGCTCTGTTAGGAAAGCAGCCCATGAATTCGATGCTAACCGAGTAAAACCACCAGTTCCAGACCGATTTAATCACGTGTTGATGGGCAAAACGACGCGGATCACGTCTCCATGTCTACTTGTCTTCCACACTTCCAAAAATCCGCAGGGAACGTCAAATCTCCAGATTGAAATCATTCAGATCGACACAAGTGTACGATCTCTTTGTCATGAGCCGTTTGTATAGTGCCCGGGTTCCCTGGAGGGTTGACTCTCCTGATTCCGTGGAACTCCTTCGGAGATCCACTAATGCCCACATCTGCTTTGCAAAAAAAAACAACAAATTGCATGGTGAATGATGTAGATATGTTTCGCCATATGTCTACAAGATTGGATGTACGTGAACTGAGCATTGCCATCTTACCAAATGATCGGGGCATGAGGAGAAGAATTGAACGTTGTGGTTGAAAATCCAAAGCCGTGCAACTTGCAGCTGAGAAGTGCTGCTGAAGATCCGAAAACTGCTAAAACCCGGTGGACTGGCAGCCGGCAGCTGCTGGATCATCTCGCGTCCCGTGCAATCCTCTCAGACGCGAGCTCAGAAAGGAACGGCTCTTTCTCGGACCTCGGATGTGGAGAGACCCATCTTCACATGCTAGGCAGTCTAGGAAACGGAACCGTTGCAAGTCAAAGCGTCTTAAAATC